GGGGGGTATTAACATGTTCTCATGCAAAGTAGAATTGTAAATGGGCTGATTTATCAATGTCATGATCATACTGTGCCGGAATAACATAGGGGGAACTGCTGCTTTTTCTTTCTTCATCCTTACTATCGTCATCTTTCCTCTACTTCGTTTGTATGTTTGTCACTCTCTCTCTCTCTCTCTTGTGAACTGCTATTTCCGGGATGCCTTGATAATCGAAGCCGACTTCGTGCTGTTGAAGCTAGAGAGGTGACCAGGGTAGTGCTGATTCCTCTTTTGGACTTCTCTGTTGACATCCACCCTCGGCGCTCATATGACTATGTTATTCAGTTGCGAGCGCCGTTAAACCTTACTGAAACTAAAACTAAGCTTCATTATCTTTTTCTCTACTCTACCACTACAAGTAAGGAAGTTCACAGAAAGCAATAGTGCGTACTGTCAGAATTGTTTTCATGTACGGAAAATCGAACTCTAAATATAATTATCCACATAATATGTAGGCCTACATGGATTGATCATTCGGATTTCCACGCTAATACATGTATTCCCTTTATAGTACATGTACAGAATGTGCAATGTCAGCTGCAGCAGTAGACTTGAATAGAATATAAGGGAAATTATACTTGTCTTAGAATTTACTAACATGAAGCTTATATTATATGAGCAGGCAGTCTTCTTAACTGCTTTGTACTCTATGATTTGAACCTCATTTTGACAGTCCGCAGCGAAATGTTCATCTTGTGGGGGCATTCGTTTACCATATAAGGCTTTGGGTAGTGTAGGTGAAAAGCTGAAATTTGATGTTGTGGACATTCCTTTGGGTTAAGACCAGAACAAATAAAAGGGTTTTTGGTTTATGTCCGTGACACACAGACATGTTAGAAAGCTCTGACACGGCAATTAACGAGGCAAAATGCCATTCTTTTATTTTTTCCTCCTCTGCACCGCGAGGTGTCGGGGAGATAGATGTAATTGCCGGATATGGGCTAGGTGGGGTTGTTGTTTGTTTGTTTTTTTTTGGTGTTTTTTTTTTTTTGGGGGGGGGGGTATATCTCACTGTGCCTTTGAATGGTCTCTTTTACTTTGATTCCACTCATCCATCTCTTTTTTGGTCTTTCTTTTGTATTGAAACTGAAACCATTGAATTTCATATTGTAGGCTTTTGTTGAAGTTGGCTGTTGTGGCCCCATTCTCTCATGTCTTGTCCAGACCATCTTATACCATTTGACACCACAAAAACTGAAGATGTATGGAAGTGGAAGGCGTGAAGCATATTCTCCACATCCAGCGGCAGTTGTAAGTGGGTTTAGTCTGTTTCTGAAAAAACTGTACTGTACCAGTATCAGGAATATAATGGAATAGTTGTCAAGATTTCTTTGTTTTTGATTATATATTATAAAAATTGAATACCTTTTTCAACGAAGGTTGGTTGGTTGCCATGAGGCTTGTATCGGAAATTCTATTTTCTTTCGATTTACCACTGGTATCATTGTTTTGGAATAAACCATGTTCAGTTCAAGCAGACTTCATTGTAGTTTGTAGTTGGCAGTGGTTGCTTGGAAAGCCGTGTGGCTGAGCCTTCTTCCCAATCACTAACAGTTTCCTTTTACCTATTCCCAACATAGTCAGTACACATTAGTGCAGTCTTTCTGTATTTTCCCATTACTCAGTTCAACACCTCTCAAGATGTCAATAATTAATAAATAGACTGTGATCACAGATCAGGGGAGTCCCTTACAAAACAGTTCCGTTGAACACATTACCGGGCAAGTACTCCTCCAGAAATTGTGTCAGCTTTGCGTCCAGGTAAAAGCTTCATCCCTCCCCACTCTACTAAACCATCCTCAAGGAAGTAAAAGCAATCAATAAAACACTGAAACATCAAGGGAATAGTCATGGGTGTGTCCCTTTCCCCCCTTTGCTCAGGTTCACGTAAATGCACTCCTGTGGGTGGTTGGCAGGTGCTCTGGGGTGGTTTGCTCCTCCCTTCCTATCAAACATCTATCGCTCTAATCTCCCCTCCTTCTATTATGTGTATGTTACTCTCTTGTAACACCTCTAATCTTCGGCACTTATATGACCTAATTCAACTAATTGTGTTGCAAGTGCCGTGAAACTCTTACTAAAACATAAAACAATGCACACTCCAAGCAAATGCATGCTTAGGAGCCCTCCCGAACATCACACATTTAGGTGGAGACTACCAGTACAGTACTAGTAAGAGGAGGCAGAACATATGAAAGAGCAAATTCAACAAGGTATAAAAACAACTCAAATCACTTTTAAAATACAATGCAAACAATTTAATAATATACAAATAATAAGCTCTAATCATTCCACAATGCTTACTTCTTACATACACTGCCACAATGGAAATAAATAAGTGAGATTTTCAATTTTCAATAAGAAGATAAGGCGAGCTAAAGAAGACGGCAAAATATCCACAGAATCATTTCACTTTCACTGAAACAAAAACTTATATTGAGTCAGAAAAGACAAAAGAAGATAACAAGGAAGGAAAAAAAGAATGATCATGTATTACTGTTCTCTGCATCATACAATGAAGATCCATTATGTCTTAGTTAAGTATCAAATACAAATATAGGTGGTTGAAAGGTGCTCTTGTGTGGTTTGCTCCTTCTTTCCTATCAAACATCTATCATCCTTATCTCTCCTTCTTTTCTATGCATGTCACACTAACACCTCTAATCTTCAGCACTTACAGTATTATTAGGACCAATTTGTGCTGAAAGTGCTGTAAAACTCTTACTAAAACAAAATGCTTGCAAATAATAAATCCTCACAACAACAACAACAACAACAATAACGTGCTCTTTCAAGGAAGAAAGGAGAGCCTTGGAAATGGCCAGTGACTGGACTGACATAGAGTGCAATGCATCCAACTCGGTCGCTATCTTCACCGACAGTCAATCGATATGCATGGCACAAGTGGGAACATCACCATCCCCCGACCAATTGCGACTACGCATAAATAATGCAACACCTCAACCCACGATTCAGTGGATCCCTGGTCACAGCGATATCCTCGGCAACGATCTCGGTGACAGTAATGCCAAACTGGCAACAGCGCTGCCGGGTCCTGGCCGCCAAATTACTTATGAACAACACATACAACATGTAAACTCACGTTTCAATGATATGATGCTCATGTTTTCGTAACCAATTTTTGAGTGAAATCAAATATAAACATGATGCACTATTATTAAATAATTATGGGACTAAAAATTCAAAATACCGGTAGCATAAATTACGAAGGATCAAGTTCTAACTTGGTTGTAAGCTGTCAGCATTGAGATGTTGGTCAGTAGATTGTCATGATATTGAGTTTACACTGGACATAAAGTCATTTAAGTTATATTTACACTTTGCTGATTTTTTTTTTGAAAAATCGATTCAACGCTCTTGTTCAATTTTGAGTCAGTGTTAAAAATTTCGTGCTGATTGGTGGGTAACTTTTTAAATTCAGTTTTTTAAAAGTACCCAGTAGGCCTACCTATGATTTTGTACTTCCACATAGGCCAAAAAGTAGGGAGCCACAAGGGAAAAATTTTCTGGTGAATTTGGCAGAATAAATGTGTTAAACTAGCAAAACAAATAAATATGAGACTTAAATGAACATCAAAATGAAACTTGCACTGGACTAAAACTTTAAAACTCTCCATAACTCATCGAAATGACATACAACACTTTTGATTTTGACTCAATAATAGCAGTCACACAATTACACTGTGGAAAATTTCCAGTTCAGAAAACTAGAGCACAAAAAACCATTTCCAAATACCTTGCTGCACAGATATATATAAGAGATTCTTTTACACATGACAGAAAACTTACAATGACCTAGGATTAAATAGCTACCTGACTTCTTTGTTAACCATTTTGATGATGAGAATTTCATAATTTGAGGGAGCTCTCAGAAAACCAGTTGGAAGGTGCAGAAGATTGTTTCGAGTTACCATTAAAAAATTTCACAGAAATTTTACTTCTGTAAAAAGCAAATTTTATGAAGTAAGGAAAAGATAACCGTGAGCCTTGAACCTTATACTTCAGTCTCAGATGACTTTTGGGGCACCAAAGATGATTGGGCAACCACTTTTCTCCATCCCTCTCTATTTTCTTAATCTTCACTTGAAGAGATTTTACTAAAATACTATTCGTAATGTTTTTCAAATTAATCTTCACTTGAAAATATTTTACTGAAATAATGTTCTTAATGTTTTTCAAATTATTCTAATGATACGCTTTGGAAACTTTTGTGAAAATATGGAAATCTTCACTCTTGTGGATGGATACATTAAGTGCAAAATGATCAAGAGAGATCTTTTCAGAATGCAAAAATGTCGGTTCAGAAAATGTTCCCCTTCCAGCAGGTTTCCGCACACAAGAAATCTTGAAGGGCAATTAAAAGCTATATATATAAAATAATATTTTGACCCCTCGACTATCCTTGTGCATCTTGCGATGCTAACAAGAAGTCCTTCTAAAATAAACTGCAAAGAACACTCTTTTTGCCTGTCAAGAGAAAGGTTTATAGTAAATTATTTACAATCACCATTGTTGAGAGACATGTAATCCCGACCAATAGACAGTTAAGTTTAAAATTTGACATTTTAGGAGTCCATTGCACAATTTAGATCATTTAAGAGGCGGGCTTCTCACCCTGTCTCTGCCGTCTTTATGCGAACCTCATTACATATTAACCCTATCCATACGCCGTGTTTAACTATTGCATCCATATGACGTGGGGAACTCTCTTTCCAAAGAGGAAATTTACTCGTTAATCCGATCAGTACGCTTTGCATAGCAGTCTGTAAAAATGATTTGTTGAGAAATACTGAGTTTCAAAGAGATCTTCGTACTAAAAGTATTCTAAAATGTGAAGAATACAACCCTGGGGGTACAAAATGACCCCAGGGCGTACGGATAGGGTTAAGCAGAACATTCAGTTGCATCCCCACTACATCAGTTATCTAAGCATGACCTGGTCCCAGTCGATCTGCCGGCCGTACACCTCCATGTCCAACCAGCGCTCGTAGTTGATCTTGAACTCGGGGCTCAGCGGCATGCTCTGGCCCAGCAGGCTGAGAATGTTGTTGTCCACGGGTCGGAAGTCCGACTCCGTCCCGCCCCCGCTCACGTAACGGCGATTGTTGAAGCGATCAACGCATGCTCTGAGAGCACATTCCTCGGCCTGAAAGTCCCAGGGACGAGCGTCCATGTCTGGGGAACGCATTGAGATAAACAGGTCATGTATATCCATATTATATCATATTTACACATTTCGCAAATTCTGACCGTCTACTTTTAACTCTTTTTATCCTAGCCGTACCCCCACGAACTCTGTACCAGTCCTGGGGCCGCCGCGCCGTATGAGTCGGAAGTCAGTGCGTATAGTTCAAAGTGCTGTATTTCTTACATTTACTCTAAGATTTTAAGAAAATTTGGCATTTACGTTAGAAATTGAATGTAGTTTTTATAAATGTACGTGGTTAGGAATTACACCAATATCACAATGTAGATTTTGAGGTGTATTTCACCCTCGAACTTGACCCTGATTGCCGCGCCCACGACGTCCCAGTGGATTTTATATATCTAGATCTAGCCCTACCCATCGAGCACGAATTCCAGTACTGACCCCTTACCATGATCTGAATCGCTATTATATGAAACTAAGTCCTGTTTCTTATCATCCACAATGGAATTTACGGCACTTATTTCAGAGTCTTTTTCATCAAATTAGTACCATTCCCCCTCACAACCCAGCGCCACTTCAAAAAGTACTTTGTCGGTCGTGAATGTGCGTTTTCGAGACATCTTTCAAGCTTCTACACCCATCAAAAACAAAGAAACCACTGTTCATTGGAAAATTAAAATATTCAGACAGAGCTAGCATCGCCGTATTTGCATATTTTGGTAATTACAAGCAGAACTAGCTTCTTTGACGTGACCGTATCGCTGTTCCCAGAATACTCTAGCCCGGACTGGTCCTCGTTACGAGTGTACTCGTAGCCCGGATAAAAAGAGTTAAGCTTGCCAAAATATTGCCATATATATTTTTGTTTGAAAACCATTCTTCTACTCAAGGCAGGACCAAAACTAAGGTTATACTTTTGTACAAATTGAGACATTTTCTGTACAACTTGAAAGAAAATAGAAGCAGAGCAAAATAATCCTGGTGCAGTTGTAAAACCAAAAACTATTATCATACACAGCCTTACTCCCTTGAGATGGGGGGGGAGGGGGAAAGAGAGAGAGAGAAAGAGAGAGAGAGAGAGAGAGAGAGAGAGAGAGAGAGAGAGAGAAAGAGAGAGAGAGAGTATGTGCCTGTGTGTGTGTGTGTGTGTGTGTGTGTGTGTGTGTATATGTGTGTGTGTGTGTGTGTGTATATGTGTGTGTGTGTGTGTTGTTGATGTTGACAAGCGCATGTGCGTATATATTTTGTCTATTTACTATGCAACAGCAAAGTTTCTCTTTGTGGAATCTATAAAATCTTCTCTCATCTTTCCCAAACCTGAAAAAAAAAAGATGCTTTGTTTTTATTGCGTACTCACCATTGCCATAAGCCCAGTCATCCCCTAGCCTGTGTCGTACTTTCTGGTAAATGGCTGACATGGTCTTCATGTTGGACTTTCGCCACTGGCGACCTAAGTACTTCGTCTGCATTTTCAGCAGCTTCAGGATGTACAACTGCATCATGGGATGCCGCACCTTGAGGGCACGTTTTAGGATCGGCGCCGACTTGAACACAACAAGCATCTGCAATAGCACAGAGATCACATATCCTCAGCAAGCTGTTCAAATGTTCTAGGCCCAGAAAGCAAAATTATTTCAGGAAAGGGACAAATAGTGTTTCATTCTTTTTGATAAGTGAACCCAATCTATGTAACTTTACTTGTCTTTTAAACATTTAGGTTTTCAACTACACAAAATACCTCTTGAGCACATGCAAAGTTTACCATCGATATAAGATAAAATGAACTTTGATTAACGTAGGACTACCACTGATTTTGCCCAAATAGCACTATAGAAGGACGGTTTGGACTATTTTTCCTGAAAAAGATTATTTCCCAGTATGTAAATAGACATTCGGCATGCCTGATTTTCTTCAAGACTATGGTGCTTTCTAGTAATCATTTTTTAGCATATCTTCAACATTTTTAAAAATAAAGATGCTTGAAAACTTAAATTTCCCAAAGTTCTGGAAGCTTTCAAAAAATTGATTTACATATTATACAAATAGTGGGGAGTTGTCCACTTGTCGACTTTTTCTCCTATAATTCCTCCCTCTCACCCCCTGCCTAACTTTAAGGCACACACAATGAGAACATGGTAAACAACAAATTGCATCAACAATCCAGCATCCAACAATGTACACTGTTTTAACCCTTACAGCACTGGGCTATTTTTAGAAGGGAAGTGAACAGCTTCTTCACTCACCATAGTCCGAGAATGTTTCCACTTGGTCAGTTTGTTGAGGATGCGTAGAAGGTTGATGCAGGAGAAGATGTTCCTCCAACAGTGGGGCTGGCTGTCACCGCTCTCCTGCAGGGACACAGGGTCAAAGAGGGTTTACTTTAATTTAGTTTTAGTAAGAGTTTTACACCGCTTGCAACATAAAGAGGTCATATATTTCAATGTTATTTCATTGAGCATTTTTTTGGTAGAAAAAGGAAAAGCGCAGTATAAATGCTATTTATTACTATTATTATAAATATGTCAAAGAATTAGAAATGTTTCTATAGAATAACATACAAATAAAAGAAGGAGGGGAAGGATGATAGATGTTTGATGAGAAAGAAGGAGCAAACCATACCAGAACACCTGCCAATAGTGCTGGGCGGCTAGGTTCCCGATTATTGAAAGCTAGGAATCGTAGGAATCGACTCCGATCCCAATTACTTACTTTCTAATGAAGTGATTTCTTCCGGTGGTTACCTGGTTGGCTCCGAACATCTTCAGGATTTAGGATGACCTATATTTCGGAACACTCCGAAGCATCAACTTTTATTTTTCAAAGATAAATTCTTTTAAAAAAGAAGATTTTAATGATTAAAGTAACTGGTAACCGTTGGGTCTCGTGAAAGGGAACTTTTCTTTCCTTGCATTAATCGTGGGAATCGGTTCCGGAATTGATTCTTCGCCCAGCTCTACCTGCCAAACCACCCATTTTTTTATGGATATCTTGAGGATATGAATTCTACGAGCTTGCAGGCTCATAATTTCATTTCTGCTCCCCTATTGGTTGATTATTTTTTGTTTCATTTCCCAGTCAGGTAACAAAAATAATGAACCAAGTGTCAAAATGAAATCATTTGTCTACAAGCTCTTAAAACTGATATCTTTAAGATTTCCATTCTGTTACTATTTTTCCTCTCCCGAAGACTTCAATAAGCCTGATGGTTCAGGAAAGAATACCTGCTGCTACATCGCCAAGGTGAAAGTAGGTCACATTATCCCTATCCCCTGTTGCCGCACTCAACTAAAGCTGTGAAGCCATCACTTATTGACCAGAAAAGAAATTATCATCTTGCAATTACAGAGCAAGCAAACTCTTTACAGTTCACTCACAATGTTCTCAGCGGTAAGCTCCGGTTGATCTCCAAGCACATTCTCTGGGAAGTCCAGGGCCGGAATGCTGAGGATGAAAAACAAAAAAATTAGTGACAACTTAAGAAAGACTCTCGAGTGCAGACGACTCGAACATGGACCACTTTCACATTTATGGCAACTTAGAAGAAAAATAATCTGTTTAATGAGTCTTGTAAGGATCCATGTTTGCTCTATCACCTCTTATTAAAAAAGAAAAAAGAAAAAAAAAACCCAAACAAGCAAAGAAATGTGGTTGGGAACATGCTCGCAATAGTAGTCAAAATAGCTTTTTAAAATAAACTCAACTGCGTCAAGCAGAAGTAAGTTTATCAACAAGCAACAGGACACAACATGAGAAGAGTTGTAATACATACAAACACATTTATAAATAAAGCCCTAAGAAAGACAACATAGAACAATGAGGTACAGTATTGTTTCCACAGACTAAACACCAACCTGTTTTTTGCATTGACATAGGCCACGATATCCTGGTTAAAAAACTTGAGCACCAGAGGTATACAGTTGGCAAACACTAAGTGCTGGCTGGTAAACTCAAACTGTTGGTAGAGTTGCAGAGAAAAAAGAAGACTTCAATGACAACAACAATAGAATAATAATAATATATGGCATTTATATAGTGCCAACCCTGATTAAAGAATGAGACTTAATTTTATTTAAATGTTTACAACTCAACAGAAGATATACAGGGCAACATGCAATTCACCTATTGTGGTAAGAAATGTGTAGAGGATACCATTCTCATGTTCTTTGATAACAACTATAATCACATAGACACACCAGGAAACTATTGCAGGATACTTTTTGTTAATTTTTTACCCGCATTCAACATAATTCAGACCTACATAATGGTTTCAAAATTAACTGACACGAACATGTTACATGAGCTCATCAGGCTCACACACCCCATCATCGCACATTACTTCTAGTCCTGTAGTGTGCACAAGTCGTTAAAACTTTCTTGAATCTAGGCATGTGAGGGTGAGTGCTGGATGGTGGGGTGTGATAAAAGACAGACAGTCACCTGGTACACATGATTGAGCTTGAAGTGTTTCAGCAACAGTAGCAAAAGGCCCGAGATGGCTTTCACGATGATCTCCTTATGGCGGTTCACATCAATGCCCAGCTTCATCGACATCAGCACTGTGGTCCTGTCACAAGGGAAAAAAAGGTTAAAAAAGAGTTTCAAGTTCAGTCCTTCTCTTTCCTCTTCCTTACTATCGTCATTTTCCTCTACTTCTTTTGTATGTTTGTCACTCTCTTGTGAACTGCTATTTCCGGGGTGCCTTGATAGTCGTAGCAGACTTTGTGTTGTTGAGGCTAGAGAGGTGAGCAGAATAAGCCTGATTCCCCATTTGGACTTCTTTGTTGACATCCACCCCTTGGCGCTAATATGACTTTATGCAGTTGCGAGCGCCATAAAACTTTACTTAAACCAAAAAAATCCCCAAAGAAGGAGCCCCTATCTACAAGTTAACCAGAAGAAATCTGGCCCTCCGTATGTCACAATAAAGCGCCAGACTACTACACCACAGATGTTGGTCTGATGCAGTCAGTGTGTGTTGTGTGTAAGGTGTTGTCAAGTTCATTTACGGCATTGTCAAGGTCACTTACGGCATCTCATCCGGCAGAACATCAGACAGAATGTTGATAGATTCAGTCTTGGCCTTCGATGTCGGTGCAGCAGCCAGGAGCAACTTGAGCAGAGCAATCTGGCAACACAGAGAAAAAGCAACATGATGATTTGTAGTTTTAGTAAGATTTTAATGGTACTTACAACACAAATAGGCCATATGAGTGCCAAAGATAAGAGGAGTTACTAGAAAGTAATATATACTAAAAAAGGACAAGAAATAAGGACAATAGATGTTTGATAGGAAAGAAAGAAGGAGCAATATGACAGAAATATGCATTTTGGGTCCAGAACTGAAAAATCACTGAAAATGAAATTCTGTAGGTAGGTGTTTTTACGCCCTCACAGACACAATTTAGATCATTTAGGAGATGGGCTTCCACCCTACCTGTCAGGGCCAACCCGGGAGGGGGTGGGTGTCGAAATTTATTTCTACCCAGAAACTGTACAATCTCATTACTTGACAGCTACCCCCGTGACTCACCATGTACTGAGGCAGATTGGACAGCATGGCGTGGTACAACCTCTCAGCCGGTGTGCTCTCCACATCTGTTTCAGGCTACGGATAGAAGAGGAAAAAACAGGGGTTGTATGTTTAATTTCGTTTTTTTAGTAGGAGTTGTAATGCACTTACAACACAAATAGGCCAAATAAGTGCCAACGATTAGAGGTGTTACTACTACAGAGTGATATAAAAAGAAAAGGAGGTTGATCTTCAGAGCGCGCACAGGACACTTACACACCAACAAGCACATAAATAGAGGAGGAGAGATAGATAAGAATGACAGAAGTTTGATAGGAAAGAGAGACCGTTGAACATCTTCTCCTTCACCCGCCCAAACCTGACAGTTCTTCGACGCAGGCTCCTACACACACCTACAGACTTACAAAGCCTGCTCTACTCTGGTGCTGACCAGATGACAAGGACATGTAGTTACTTGAGGGAGGCATTGCGCTGCCAAGAGCGAAATGCTCGCAGCTAAAGGGATTTGAAAACAACAACAAGAAAAGGAGGAGGAGAGATAAGGCTGACAGATGTTTGATAGGAAAGAAAGAGAAAACCGCGCCTGAGCGCCTACCAACAAACAAGATTTTATGGAAAGAACAACATACAATAAAAAGGCAAAATGCAGCACAACATGGACAAAAACAGGATATAATATTCAATTGCTTCTCTCTGTTTTAGCAATGTTTTATGTTTCATTATCCAAACACATTAAGAAGCAAGACAACCATAAAGCAGTGACTAAAAGCATCATTTTTTTCCAAACACACAAAGATGAAATAAAATGAGATCAGTTTTGTGTTTTCTAGTGAATTGAAAAAAGTATTTTCTATGAAGAGGAGGCGGGGGAGCGGGTTGGAAGATGATTTATTGCTCTTCTGGTGGGTTTTAGCTCTTCTACACAAGAAAGACATCTCTGATGTATACATCAGCAGCTCATCACACCACTGCTTGGTCACTCAGAAACCCAAACATGCTCACCTTGGACAAAGGATTCCTTGCAATCTCTTCCTCTCTCTTGATCTGAACCTCAGACAGTGACATATACAGGTGCTGAGGGAAAGAAAAAAGAGAAAACAATTAAAAAGAAATAGGGTGCTTTCTTCTGCTTTGTAAAATATAATAATACAACATTTTACAAAAATGAAAACCCTTTAAAAGTATTACTGTAAAGCCCTCTTGAACAGAACATGGTAAATCCAAAAACAGTGGTACCGGTATACCAAAAGAAAAGAAAATCCCACATCTTTTTTTTTTCCTATTTGAGCTCTCCGTCTAAACTGAAAACACAGCTCAATTGAAGAAAACCCGGTGGTCCCACAGATTTCGGTCTAAGCGGACTCCATTGTATGCATTTCCCGACACCCTAGTCCCTATACACCTTATACCCAGCAAATGTTCCAGAAAGTCGTTGAATCTTTATTTTATACATTTGAGGACTGCCAGATCTTCTTTCACAGAGGGACTAAAGCTTCCATTTTGGCACAATTTGATATTTCTAGGACAAAATAGGATATGTTAGACGGAAACAACAAAATAATAAGGCTACTACGCATTGCTGGGTCAGATCTTTAGTTTGTGCGAGGAATATGATAGACCCTAATGATGACTCAAAGTAGAGTGTCGTTACTTCTACGATTGGTTCACTTACAAAATATCAAATGCAGCCTCCACTCCGACATATACACATTCTAATCTTTTTAAAAAAACCAAACTTCCATATCTACCCTCGGGCGTCAGTATTGCCTGTGGGTCATTATTTCATTATTGAATAAACAAGAGAAGATAGCAGGTACGAGCTGATTGGTTCCAACTGAGAGTCACTTTTTTACAGTCTCACAATGCTCGGCTACTTTCAAGGAGACAACTCTGTACTTTCTGGTCTTACAGCTGAGCAAAGTCGGGCACAATAACCTGACCAATGCCCCCAAAAGTACAATCTAGATTATTTGACTAAGATTTTTACTTGTCCGTGACTTCTTCATCCGACAATGTTAAAGCCATGTAAAATTCAAAACAGACAGTGCCGTCCGTGCTCAGCTCATTATGAATTCAAAACTTCATTTTCAACATCTTTTTCAAAAACCTTATTATATACTGCTGATGTTAACCATCTGTGCCGGTGGTCCGTGGTTGCTCATTATGAATTCAAAACTTCATTTTCAACATCTTTTTCAAAAACCCTTATTATATACTGCTGATGTTAACCATCTGTGTCGGTGGTCCGCGGTTGCTCTGGTGTGATTTGCCCCTTCTTTCCTATCAAATATCTGTCTTCCTTATCTCTCCTCCTTCTTTCCTTTGTACGGTGCTTACTCTACAGTACCACCTCCAATCTCCAGCACCTATACGACCTAGTTGTGTCGTAAGTGCCATAAAGCTCTTACTAAATCTAAACAAACCACCCCACAGCAGTGTTACCTGTTTCAAAACTTTGACTCCCTCGTGTATGGGCTGGGGCAGACCAGCCAATGAGTTGTGGTCGTTCTTCACCTCAAAGCCCACAAACTTCTGACGGGTGTGGTCCAGGAAATTCTCCAAGTCCTTTTGCCTGTTCAAGACAAGAAATCAGTACAGATAACAGAAACAGCTGCAAACATACAAGTCAGTTGCACTGCAGGTTGAAGAACCAGCGTTCAACTACCACTGGCAACTAGCAGGGGAACGCAAAGAAGAAAGAAGAGTACGGATAACAACTGCCGGAAAAATTACGTCCACCGGGAAGACAATGTAAACCAAATTACAAAGGCATTGAAAGAAGGTATTTGTTTAACATCAAAGGAAGAAGAAGAAGAAGAAGAAGAAGAAGAAGAAGAAGAAGAAGAAGAAGAAGAAGAAGAAGAAGAAGAAGAAGAAGAAGAAGAAGAAGAAGAAGAAGAAGAAGAAGAAGAAGAAGAAGAAGAAGAAGAAGAAGAAGAAGAAGAAGAAGAAGAAGAAGAAGAAACATAAGAAGAAGAAGAAGAAACATAAGAAGAAGAAGAAGAAACATAAGAAGAAGAAGAAGAAGAAGAAGAAGAAACATAAGAAGAAGAAGAAGAAACATAAGAAGAAGAACTGACCTGACTTTGGGCTTCCATGGCAAGGTCCTGTGTGGCACGGTGGGTGTGGCGGGGCGGGGCGGGGTGGGCGGGGAGTCTTCGTCGCTGTTGGACTTGAGGCCGTCCATGAGGTCATCGTCCTCGTCGCGCGACAGGCTGGCCTCAAACGAGTCGTCCAGGCTGCTCTGTTTAACCAAACTCTGAGATAAGTTTCGGCGCCGGCCAACAGACAGACGGACGAACGAGCGAGCGAGCAGCAACGTTGAAAGAATAGGGAATGGATTTGGGTTGGCCATGGGACGTTGACCCGAGGGACGGACAGGGGGTTATTTGGGGGGAGAGGGGAGGGATGGATTGGGAGGCGGAGAGGGAGGGAAAGGGAGGGGTGGGGATGGGCAGGGAGGAGGGTGTCGACGGAATGTAGGAGGAGGAGGAGGAGGGAATAGGGTGGACGGGGACATCCAACCAGCCAGCCAGTCAGCAAGCCACACAAGGCAAGCAAGCGAGAAGTGGTAGGGGAAAAAAGGAGAGAAGGAGAGATATATAAAGAGAGAGAGAGAGAAAAAAAAGAGAGTGAGACTGCAATTGTTACACACACCAAACAGCTGACCTACACTGGTCTGACGGTGATTTTAATAATGCCTAGTATTCTAATTGTAGCAATAATAGTAACAAAAAAAAAAAAAATTGAAAGAAAAACAAAATGCCAGTGAGGTAAGTAGCCATACAATTATTATAAGAGTTTTAAAAAAGTAAGCAAATTTCAAAAGTGCATATTATAGTGGAAACTGCAATATCTAGGGAAAAACTGGATCTTCATCCATCAGAATAAAAGGGGCTGCAAGAATAGGAGGGCCACCCTTGATTATTTCTTTTTTAGTTTGTAAGTGAACTACAATTCTTAATTTAAAACAAGCATAGGGTTATGTTATTCAATTTGGCTACACAGTCTCAAGTCAACATAAAACAGTCTAAAAAAATAAATATATAATAATAATAAAGCCTACTTGCTACACACTAATTCACTGTAAGGTACTTTCATCACTCAGTTTAATGGCCTCTTGTGAGTTAATCCTGCATACATGTCTACGTCATTATTGAGAAACTCAAGGTATATAATAATATTCACAAGAAACTTCATACCTTTAAGAACTAACACACTTATATACCATATGCACAAGGGGAAAAAATCCATCAAACTATTCTTTTCAAAGATGAGCAGAAATAGCATTCAAGAATATATTCCAAAGCACGACACTCATACCATAAACGATAAATACTAACCAAAATCTCTGCTCTCGTTTCCTATCCTTTTATATGATTCAATAACAATCAACATAACACGTACCCACATCGCTCAAAACCAGATGTAAACAAGAGAAATAAGACTCTCTATCTCTGTTGCTTATTGATGTTGTTGTAGTTTTCAAATCCCTTTAGCTGCGAGCATTTCGCTCTTGGCAGGGCAATGCTTCCCTCAAGAAACCACATGTCCTTGTCATCCGGTCAACGCCGGGTTGCTTATCGATAGTGATGTGTGTCTCAATCTCTTCTCATAACATTAACATGTGAACTTTGATGCTTGAAGTCTTACACTGATGGAAGATATACCATCATACCTGTCCAGAGGATATACCTCAAAATAAAAGACACTAGTTCCTTTCTTTTTCTTTCACACAACTAAAATGCTCATCACTTGGAAAAACCTCAGAATGTTCTGATCAAATGTCTTTAACCCTATCCGTACACCCTGGGGTCATTTTGAACCCCCAGGGTTGTATTCTTCACATTTTAGAAACTTCTAGTACAAAGATCTCTTTGAAACTTTCAGTTTTTCTAAAAAAATCATTTTGACAGGCTGCTATGCAAAGCGTACGGATTGGATTAACAAGTAAATTTCCTTGTTTGAAAGTGGCGGCACAGTTCCCAACGTCGTATGGATACGATAGTAAAACATGACGTACGGATAGGGTTAACAAACTGATCCCCTACACACATTACTGAAACGACCAAGACAACAAACCCGCCTTCCTTCAAAGCCTCTCCAATTAAAAGGATATTAATTTTTTATAACACACGTATGCATATTGAAAAGAAACAACCAACAACGTATTCAGATATCCTATAGTTTGGCATTCATCTTTCTTCAATAGTATCACATCAATATGAAATATTCAGTAGGTACACATCTCCATGCACGAGTATCCACGATAAAGAAAAGCCTTGTGCTTGTATCAATTGTACCGAAATGGTCTCAAATATCCAGACTTTTCAGTTCCCCTGTCAAATTAGTCTCTAAATCTTATACATGTACACATCTGTTATGAAAAGATATTTCTTCTCACAATCTAGATACTTAGGAACAGATGAAATTTAGGTTGAAACCAACTTCCTCTACCCCCTCCTTAAGTAAACCACCCCC